AAGCTTGCAACGTCCATATGAACATCACATATTGACAACAATAGATTTATTTAACTATGCAAGAAATAATATCTATGGGGTAAATTATATATTTGTGAGCAATAATGAATATATGAACATAGAAAGTCATCTTGAAAGCAGATTTTTGAGAGCAAAGAGAATTTCTGGAACACAAAGTTCCAAGCTTTTATTCCTCTAGACGAAAACAAAAGTCATCATTTATTAAAATTCCTTGGATGATTATAATATATGATATATTTTAATTATAAATTTTTGATTGTATTATATGTAAAGCAATTTGAGGCAAATAAAGTTATAAATATGTTTAGAATTATTTTGTCAATTAACTTCAAGACAAAATTTAACTAAAGTTTTAAACAGCTCATTATCCCAGTCACCTCTCAAATTTTTTTTATAAAGATAAAAAAATTAGGGCTTATCATTTAGATATAATTTTTAAATTAACATTTTTTCATAACTATTCATAAAATTAAAATATGATGATATTAATGTTAAATTTGTTCAATTTTAGCCATATAAAGAGTGATAACTCCTAAACCCATGTTCATCCCAGTCTTATATTTTGAACAAATACAAAGCAGTGATCTATCTACAAAAAAAAAATTTTAAAAAAAAAATACCTTTTTTTCTATGGCCATTTCCGGTCTTACACATCCGGTTTTCGATATTAATAAAATGTCCATCATATTTATTTTTATGTCATTTTAAAGAACTTTTATTAAGCTACAAAATATAATTTAAATTATTTTTCTAACTTAATTATTTCTCGAGATATTTGAAAATAAATGAGGTGCATTTTGTCAAAAATGTACCATTTTTCCGCGCTTTAAACGGCCATATCTTAGCGGGTAAACAGTGTTGGAAGATAAAATTTTATTTTTTTCTTAGTTATAGTATATACTACCAGTACAAAAAATTTAAGAAAAATTGAAGGGGGTCGGGTTGAAACCTTGGTTGATTTGATATGGAATTTACCATATATATAATTTTTTAATATATATATATATTAATATTATGCTCATATGAAATAAAATAAATTTTACATTCAAGTATTTTTATTTATAATATAAAAAAGCGTTAAATAGAAGTATATCAAAATGTATCTTAAAAAGTATCTAAAAACAAACACAGATACATCTAAAATAATATCTAGATACAGATACTTTAATCAAAAATCTATCTAGATACAGATACCACATTTTTATATTTAGATACTTTAACAACTCTGGTATTTTTAATATATTTATTAAATTACAAAAACCATCAATTAATGGTTTCTGTTCCAAGGTAATAATATCTATACGTTTGTAAATCGAGTTATTGAAATCAAATCTTGATTGCAAATATTCTAAAATTGTCTTATTAAAAATATTTGCTTCATTTAAAAATACATTAATTAGAGTGATATTTATGATATTTTCAGCAATAGCCCCATAAAATTATTGTCAATTTACTGTAAAGATGAACACAGCTGCAGCATAATTTTGTGAATATTTTTAAAAAAGATTCTTCTGATTGCAACTGCATATTAAATGTAGTAGATTTCCTACATGTGAAATCATTCCTAAATATGCCTCTGCCATTTCATTCTCGAAAAAAAATTTTCAAAATATTAGGACGTCTTTTATAATCTTTATTTAAGAAATATTTTTTAATGGTTCGTAAAATTTTAAAATTCTATCGATGGCGGGTATTAATGATAACCACCTGATAGGGACATGTGGCAAAAACCCACACCATTCCAAGTCAGACTACTTCACCAACTCTTTTAATTCATTAAATTCGTTAAAACATTTCATTACAATTATTTCGACATCCACAGATAATATTCATTGCCTTGCAAGAATTATGTATTATATGGTATATACAGCAATTATCATTAAGTTAATATTGGCCTACTTCAATTCTGTAAAAACACTCTAGGTTTTAAATTCACTGAGGCAATATCAGCGCAGAAAACTGACATGCAACTCATTGATAATCGCAAATCTGCTATATTTACCATTATATGTAGCTATGTCTTAGGATTTTTCAGTATCTGAGGAAAATATTTGTAATAGTTTTATTGAAACGCCCTTATTTTTATTGAAATAGCGGAGGAAGGGAAATGTTTTAATATTTCCCTTATTAGATGCATCTGTTAGAATTGCATATGTATGTCCATCTTTCAAATTGTCAAGATTTGACCTCCTGGATTCAGGTCCCAAAACATTGATAGCCTTGCTCATTTGCACTGATTATAATAATGTGATTGAACTATAATAAATAAAATAATTATCATTGAAATAAGTACAATATTACCTTATTATGTATTTAAACGTGATACGTGATAATTAAGCACCTAGCCCTATAATGTTATACACACACATGAAAATGATAAAATATGAATAAATCATGTTAATTTATTATTGGATAAAAATAAAACTTGATTGGGGTAAGGATAGAAAGAAATACAAATTAGACATGTTTTTTGAATAAATATTTAAAATTTATTTTAAAAATATAAAAATAAAATTACTGTTTCTCAAAATTATTATTTATATATTAAAAACATTAAAATGCTAAAAAAAATGTGCGGGAGAAATTTAAAAATTGCGATAGTTTTGCGGGAGTGAGATGTCTGCGTGTAAACTAAAAATTTGCGGAAGTCTCCCACTGATGGGGGGAGACCTGACAACCCTGTCCCCAACCCCCATTAAAAAGAACTAAATTTTATTAACTCCTACCCTCCATTATTTTCAAAAATAATATGCAAAATAATTCTTATTGCGTCAAGCTTTAATAACTATAAAAATATTATAAACTTTAAATAATATTTAAAATTGGAAGCAAAAAATATTAAATTTCTTTTTTTCAATTAATATTAGGTAATTTCGTCGATATTTAATTGTCTAAAGTTGATTTATTTCTAATGTTTGTTTTATTATGGTTATTATTTAAAAATACAAAAATTCGAATCCACTAAATATTTTACATAGTTTAATTTCTTCATCATAATCACTCATGTAACATACGAATGAAAAAGAAATTACAATGCTTAAAAGATTTTGCGCAATATTCGGCATGCAACCCTTCATGCGCTTATTTCACTAGGTCTGAGAATTATTGAAACAAAAATTTCAAATACTTAAGAAGAATACTTATCAAGATGAGATTAAAATGAATGATATTAATGACTATGAAACTTATTTGTACGATACGGTGGTTGGCGGTTGTAGATAAATATGAAATGGCTAATGAAGTGCAAATTAGTTTTCTGCATCCTTCATGAATCCTCTCTATCCTTCATTTTCTTACCTAAAGAAAATATGAAATTATAGGAATTGTAAATCCCCTAACATCAACAAGGGCGCGTACTTTACATGCTTACATCCGCATACGTTTTAATAACTACACCAAAAGGGAAATCATTGATTTAATGATATTTTTTTATTCTAGCACACCGCCATCTATAATGACTTTTTTTATTGAAAACAATTGAAAAATTAGACAACTAAAAAAAGGTTATTTCAATCTAATTTTGTCTGAAGGCCTCGCGAAATGCATTGCCGTGAAGGTCGATTACCGCGAATATAATATCGCCATTTACGCAAATATATTACAACGATAATACTACAGCGAGTGCATAGGCCTGGATATATTATCGCGAAAGCATTAACGCGAATGTATGAATGCATTACAGCAAAAGCAATGTCTTAGAATGCGTTTCAGCGATTTTATTTTTGTGAAAATTTTAGAATGAATGCATCAGCTAGAATGCATTATCGCAATTGAATTATCTCAATTGCAATATCGGGATAGCAGTTTGGTGAAAATTATATTTTTATATTTGACTTTTAGGCAGACTTAATGGAACCTGAAAATGGGTCTGGCAAGCTCAGGCCTAAAAAATTAAAATATATGAGTCGAACTCGAGCCGAAATAAATTAAATTTGCAAGGTACTAAGAATAAGTCTTATTTAAAACATTGAGCCAAACAGATAATTGGTCCTTGGAAATAATTTTTATTGTTTTTAAACAAAACTTGCTTTAGTTCGTGAGTGATTTAATAGTTTTATTAATTTTGACAGTATGGATATAAAACATCTATCAAAGCCCAGTTTATATAATTCAAAAATTGTAATTTAGAACATTTTTTGATAATGAATTTTTTATAAAGTTCTTTTATCGCTTAATCCAAAAGAAAGGGCCAAAGCTGGTCACAACAGGACATAAAACAATATTCATTATCAAGTTGGTTGCCAAATTGAATGATTTCACAATTCACATAATCTCTGAAATGAGATTGCTGTTATTGTGACTAAGGAATATGGAAAAACAATAATCTTTATTATCAATTCTTGTCTATATATACTTTTTAAACTATAGTATAATTATTTAATTCATTTGACCTTTTAAGTTTATATAATATTACAACATATAATATTCAAATAATATCTTATTACAAATACGTTATATTATATTCAAATAATATCATATTACAATTTTGATAATCTTTTCAAGATTAATATATCTTCTAGTTTGTCTATTAATATTTTCGTTCCTTCGTTAGATATTTATATTTAGCGATTTTTACAATTAATTTTTTGTGGTCTATATTCTAAATTCTACTATATATTAAGATTATATTCTACTCTTTACACTGCTAGTCTTTTTTTATAAGCACATAAAGTATATATATAAAAAATAGTTATAAACCATCTTTTAATTTTAATATTTTTAAAATCGTATTTAATTGTATTTTTGAAAATATTAACCGTTCCCTTCTTCCGAGGACTACTATTTGTATTGATTCGATACCGATAAATATCGGTGCAACCGTAATTTTTGGGCATTACCTTCTTTTACTCCGAATATTTTTAAAACCTCCAAGAAAATTAATATCGGAAATTAAGACCCAATCTTTTATATTAAATAATTTTTTTAATCTAAAAATTTTTGCACATTTTGAAATATTTTATTTTTCAACAAAAAAAAAGGTTTAAAATGTTAGGAGACTATTACAGTTATAAGAATATGTGTTCAACAACTTCAAGCACTAAATTGACTTCTAGCCTCAAATCAGCCAAAAAGAAATTCCAACCACAAAACTGCTTTAAATCTATAAGGAAAAGAAATAAATATGGCTGGAACTCCAAACCAAATACCCTCATCATCGCGGCTACTGATAAAGCCGATGAATTCTATAAGCTCTGCCAAAATTTTGCCATAAAATGCGGGAAAGATGAAACGCGATTTTGGGATATAAGAATGAGTGAAATTTTGACCAACTATAACAAGCTTTACGTGGGGGCTGGTGATTTGCTTCTGCCCGGATTTTCTAATCACATCGTATAAAACACTTAAAAATTTTTTAGAGAAAAACAAAGTTATATTAGTTTTGTGATTTTGTTTAATTTTCTAAATCACAATAAAAAGTAAATGTCTACTTTTCTTCTTAGCAAAAATTACTTTTTTAAACTACCCTACTAAAAGTTGAAAAATATTTTTTACAGTCAAGGTTTATCATTTATTACTAAAATATTATATGTGATCTCAGAGTTGTGCCGACATAATCCCGAAGATTTTAGACTTCGTAAGTCGTGACATCGACCGCAAGATAGAGAATCTGAAGATCAAAAAAGCTCTAAAAGTGACCTCTATAAATTTTCCACTTGATAAAACTCGTGTCGTTACTCTCAAGATTTCCATCATCAGCGGACAAAGATTTATTTATCAAGTAATAGAAGAAAAAATTCAAATTCCCGAAAAAAACCTCTCAGAATATTGAAAGAACCGGCCCATCAGATTTGGGATGGAGTTGAAACAATATTAATAATTTTGCTTAATTTCATCAAAGCTAGGCTAGGTACGGGATAAAGACTGGCAGTACTGAGGGTAATGGGTAAGGTATATAATTTTCCAAACCAACTTTTAGATAGGGTTGTCAACCTCTAGGACGCTAAGGAAAATGGGTTAAAAAGTTAGAGTTGATATATTAACTGATTTAATAAAATTTAGTCGTTATATAATATATTTAGGAGGTATCTGTTTTATTTTAATAAATTTGAAATCATCACTCAATTTTGGGGAAATTTAGGTACAAACACTAGTGATTACCCATCGGTATAATTAATTAGATAAAATTAAAATAAATACGCACTATAATAAGTAGATTTTGATTCTTGACCACTAAGGTTTAATTTGCACGGCTAATAATTATGCTCAGTCGCCTGCACTATTTATACTGAAATTTTAAAGTTCAACACGGGTTGGTACCCAACTGATCTATTTTTTCAGAAACAATTTCTTGAATTCTAAGAAAAGAGATAGGTTTGTCAACTTCCTGGACGCTAAATAAAAGAAATCGGGTTAAAATGTTAGAGCGGTATGGGAGCGTTAATATATTAAAAGGTAATTTGATTTAAAAAAAAGGTCATTGTTATATAGTGATTTAAATGTTGAAATATTTACTTTTGCTTAATTATATTATATGTAAGCTTAGTATGGGATAAGACATAGGTGTATTTTTTTTTAATATTGATCATTTTTCAACTTTCACTTTTACAACCTACAGTTTTGTAAGATTAGGTTTTTATAAATGTTTGCTTTTTTATTTTATTCCAATATTTCTATTTCCATATAATCCTCGGACCTGAAAAAAATGACTCATTATATTTAAAAATTTTAATTATGGAAATTATAAAATAATTTCGATTATTAATTATTCATGAAAAATAATTTTTATGTCTAAAAAGGTAGGCTTGTTTCAATTGACTTTTTTGTATTTAAAGGTCTTTTTGTTTTATTATGGGTAAATATAATATTTTATCACAACCACAGCTCATCTTTTAAGTTTACTCTCTTTTCTGAGCCAGATACACTTACCCAACACTATCAAGAATTTAATTATGATTCTATTTGATGTAACTAACTAGTAATAATCCTTTATATTTTTACTAAAATATCCGGTCTCTGTCTTTTCTGTAGTCCAACCATGTTATTGCTGCCGACATTTGATTGGGTAATTAGATATTATTTTATCAAAGTTGCCAATTTTCGATTCTAAACTTATTCATTAATTAAATGTCAAAGAAACATCATTTTTTTTTAAATTTTTTGTTTTTCCACATATATCTACACTCAAATATAAAAAAACTTTAATCAATAGTTATTCGGGCTTCTTAATATGATATTTCATATTTATGCATTTAACGCCCTTTTTTGGAATATATTTATTGAATTAAAAAATAAAATTTGATTTTTAATAAGCTAATAAATATATTTTAAAATAATTCTGAAAATTAATTTGAAAAAATGATTATATAATAAAATTTTGATTAATTATCATTAATTGCTTTTTAATTATTGCAGTATTTAGTCATACCCTTAATAAATATGAATATGGATTAGATGAATATGTAATCATAAATTTATTTATGGCTTTACAAAAACCAAATTATCATAAAATAAACTAAATTTTTTTAACCTAATTTAAATTTTTGTCACACTTAAAACAAATGGAATATTTTACAACTGGAACCGTGAAGGATAATAGAATAAATCATTACCCAGTTGAATCCATAAAGGCTATAACAAAAAAAATAAATAGGATATTATGATCATAGATTCAAAAAATCAAACGAATATTAGGTCGGTGGAATGATAATTCGGCGTTGACCGTTGCATCGACATGCCGCACCATCTTCTCGCTTTCTAATATTTCAAGGTATTCCAAGAAAATATCTTTTAAAATAAAAATTCCTCAGCCAAATATGATCACTGCTTATAACAAACACATGGGTGGAGTCGATCTGTGTGATAAATTCATGTACTTTTAGAATAAAAATGTGAATGAAAAAATGGTGGTCGTCAATATTTACCTATTTTATCAATGATAAATGTACTATTAATTCATGAATCGGAGAAGAAGAGTCATTTAGGCGAGAAATAAATTTCTCCTTCGAACACCAGTAAAAATTGAAAAAAATTTAAGTACAGGGCACTAAAGCCAGTTTACATTACAGATTAAAAACCCTACTGATTCATCTGGACATTATTTATCCAAAATTATATTTGGAAAAAGACGTAGATGCATATTGCTATATGCACTCAATATGTATGTTCCAAACATGTTAAATCGCACTTCATATTAAATGGTTTGGTTTTCATAATATATGAACATTTTCTCGTTTTTATTATGAATTACAAGTAAAGATTTTTCTTGTTTTTTAATATTATGGCATTATACATAATTTTTCTCATTTTTTAACTTTTCAATGGTTAACGGTGCAGATTTGCACTAGGCTGGATTTTTTTATTTAGGATTATTTTTTTGGCTGATTTTTTTAGAATATTATATTTGGGCATTAAAAAATATAATTTGAAAAAATTGAGCATTTTTACCCCCAAAAAATCTTGACCTTTAACGGGACCAATACAATCAGGCATTTCATTTTAAACATTAATATTTTTATTCAAAGAAAATTGTTTAAAAATAAAAATAACAAAAAAAAGTTAAATTATAATATACAGTTACACAAACAAATATAATGTTATTTTAGCAGAGGTGAATATGAATCTAATAAAATATAGATTGTAAAAAACAGATTATTTAAAAACATAACTTTATTACACACTAAGTTTAGATGATAGAAAAAAAAATGATTTTTTTATATCTAGGAGTCTACAAAAAGAAATTGTAATAATAACAAATTTTCACGATCCATCAATTCGAAATCAATATACATAATAAATATCTAATAATTGGATAAATATTTATTCGTTGCAATACATATTTACCTTCCTCCGCTCTTTTAGAGCTTATTTACAAATTCAATAACAGGAGACGGAAATGATGTTTTATTTAAAAAATTAGATCTTTATCAAATACTTAAATTTATAATAAAATTTTTAGAAACTAGTTTCCGTTTATACTTTATTATATTGCTTTTGGACTTTATAGAGAAATTAATTAATATTAATTCTTTAACGCATTTTCCTATTCATTTATTCTTATAAAAAGCTTGTTGTAATCATTACATGTTCTAAATAAAGGTAATATAACCATTATTTTGAGATAACGGGTTGAATAAACACTTGTTATTGCAATTGGTTGGAGTTATTATTATCTTGTGTTATTTCAATTTCGTTTATTAGTCTCCTCACTATCACAAATTATTTCATCAGTATTTTCAGTAAATCTTGCAAAACAATTCGTGGGTCATTCCACATCAAATCAATCACTTTACAACACAACCATGTCAAATTTTACCAAAATTTGGTATCTAAGTTAATGAAGTGTTATAGTTGACGAATTTAAAATATTAGCCCCATAATTCTACGGAGATATAGGGTCTCAAAGTGGCCTTGCTTGGTCTTTTTTCGAAAAAAATGATTTTTTAAAATAGGGATAACTTTAATATTAGATGCACTATATATATATCTATCATGGCTCATATAGCCCTAAGTAAACTCTTTCACATATTTTAAACAAAATTAATTTTTAATTTATAAATTGCGGTCAAAAATTTGTAATTAATTTTTTTAAATGTTAATATAATTTTTTTTTTCTAAATTTCAATATTTTATAAAGAGTACCATGAACTGTTCATATAAAATTTTCAGAGTGGTAAAAAAAGTTAAGTAGGAAAAATGCATAAAATAAAAATTCCGCTAAATGGCGTTAATAATTTTAAATAGCTTAAAACTTAATTTTTGAAAATAAAAGTCAATATACCTTTTATTTATATACCATTATATAATATTTGTTGAATAAAATCGCATTTTGGCACAAATAAAATTTCCGCTAGATAGCGCAAATAATTTAAAAAAAATGGCTAATTGTGATTTAAATTAATTTAATACTATTTTGAATATCATGATATGTAAAAATCCTTGCAAAGAAGAGATTACAGTAAGTCGCTGTTTGACAGAATTTGCCAAAATCAATATTGGAGATTATATCTGTGTTGCATGCCGCTTAACTTTATATAAATAAGGGTGGTATTCCAATTTACCAGGAAAACAATACCCCTACAACTTCAAAGAATTCTTAAAATCCACCATAGAAGTAGAAAATGATACTCCAATTAAAAACGATAACGCACAACTCCCTATATCTTTCTTCGAATCCTTAAATTCAACGTTATTAGATATTGGATAATCTTAATAAACAACGATTATGACAATTGTAACTATCTATGGTACATCTTCACTGAAATTTTATTTAAACATGTTAGCAATACTTATTTTAGCCCATTTACGTCAAAAAAAAATCAAAAAAGTTATAAAATAACGATTATGACAATCGTCACTTTTCTATGGTACATCTTCATGAAATTTTAATTTAACAAGTTTATCTATATTTTTACCCATTTACGTTAAAAAAAAGTTTAAAAATAATGATTATGATAATTGTCACTTATCTAGGGTACATCTTCACTGAATTTTTATTTATTATCCTTAAAAAGATCATAAAATAACATAAATAAGTTAAATATAAATATTTAAAAAAGAATTATTTAGAAAACCCACCTCTTTTAATATACTTAAGAAATAGATAATTTTACAAAAATGATAAAAAAAACTATAAAAGATTTTACCTAAAAATTGTATATTTATTTATAATAAATTTCACAACAGAATTCCTCAAAAAAGATATATTTACAAAGAAGATTTAAAATTTTTATCATAATATGTTCAAAATCTTTTTGAACTTCAAGAAATATTTTTTACTTAAAATCTTCGGCGTGAAAATCACTAATAAATTGTAACAAAAATATGTTACAATATTAGCATATCATTTTTTATTAAAAAACATCAAATAGTAAATAATATGTTGTTTTCTTTTAAATAAATGCATTCGCAATATATTTATTGTTTCGCGGTAATGCCCTCGCGTTAATGACTTCGCGCAAACATATTCGCGATAAAAAATTCGCTGTAAAATATTTCGCTAAAATGTATTCCCTCTAATAAATTCGCGGTTAAGGTTTCTCGGAAATAAATTCGACAATGGCTTTGCGAAATTGTCTTCGCTATAAATATTTCGCGGAGATAAATTCGCAGAATTGGTTTCGCGATATTACCTTCGCGATAAAAGTTTCGCTGAAATGACCTGATACGAAAAAAAATGACATTGAAAATAAAGAAATTATTTTTAAAAAGACAAAAAAAGAATGATCAAAAATGAGAAGAGGAAAAGATTAAGATAAATAACTTAAAGAGATCTCAAAAAATTAGAAATGAAATAAAATATTGAAAAGAAATTTTTTTTTAAAGTAACTACCTTCCTTTTTTGATTGACACTTTTCCTAAGCCTTCGGAACTTTTCCTGATTTGATTGTCGGACTTTTTCCTAGGCCTTTGGGACTTTTCCTTTTTTGACTGAACATTCTCCTTTTTTGATAGGACCTTTTCCTTTTATAATTGACACCTATCTTTTTGATTGGGACTTCCTTTTTAGGATGTGAAATCCTATATATCTTTTTACTTTTGCATAACCTAAGTTTGTTTTCTCGATAAAAGCTAGCAAGGACCGATTTTCATAAAATATATCCATTCTTCATTTGTTAGCTGTTTATTTTTCCCTAAAATAATTTCTTACGATATTCAAATTTCAATAAGCAAAAGCAAATTTTTAAAATGGCGCTCAAAAAGATGGTATGTGAACCTCTGAAAAGAAAATCTAGACCCTCCATAGCTTTAAAATTTAATTTTATAGTTGTTGAAACTTTTTTTTGTTCAAGTATATAATATTTTCTTTAAAACGTAACCTCCCCTTCTGTTTTTAGACACCATTTAATCGTTAATAAAAAAAACAAATAAGTTTGATTTTGAAATCCGGAATTTACATTTTTTAAAAAATATTACATAATATAAAAAAAATTAATTCCACAAATTATTATCCTTTGTTTGGAAATAAATAAAAAATGGCAAAAAACATGCTTCAAAAAATGTTCTGTTTGGAAATGGCCAAATGTAAATTTCATAAAACAACGGATAAAATTTATTATACAAATGCTTTTAATTGAAAAAAAGTATTATAAAAATTTATAAACAAGCATTAAAGTTTGCGAATTATTTATAAATTTAGAAGTAAACACTGCCTACTAAATATTTTCCCTAAAATAGTTTGATATAATTTAAAAAATAAAATAAGAATGAACCGATACTAACCTTAGTCGAATACCTATTAATCTCGAAGTTGAATGATGCCAATACAAATCAGATGGTCAGTAGTTGTTGCATCCGTATACCTCCACCTATGAAACCTGTGCTCCCATGTAAACCTGCGTTTTTCGATGTAGCACGCGATCAAATACACGTTTTTATGAACAAATATGTTAGTAACCTTGAGAAAACAGACAATTCTTCCACTTCCGGTTCTTCTTTGATTGGCGGCATGGTCAAAAAATTATTTTGGAAATAAATATTATATAACTGATTTGTAAATTTTTATGTTATTTCTCAATATATTTTAATTCATAATATATATCTATATTATAATTTATTGAAGAATACATAGAATTAGAATATAGATCGAGTTATTATAATTTAAATATATTGTCCTAATCTCTGATTTACTTTTTAGTTCTCTCCAAAAGCGGGTAAGGGAACGGTGATATATGGTGGGGATATCCTTGAATGGTTTAAGTAATATTTTTTTAAGATTGACACTTTATAAAAGAATAGCGTAGTTTGGGCTAGAAGGAATAACAATTTTTAAAAATAATATACTTGAATGAAATTCCAAAAAATTATAGTTTTAAAAACAAATTCTTCCTAAATACTGGTGTGCTGTTAAGTTTTACGATTGGAGAAATATGTATTGAGATCTACATTTTTATTTATAAATAGAAATTATTTTTTATCCTTTATCGCTCTTTCCATTATTCTCATCTTTTTAAGGTTAGGTAAATAAATTTTTCAAATCAATGTTAATCGTGAATCCTTTTATAAAATATTACAATAAGCCTTAATAGCTGTGTTTCAAGCAACTCTCTAGGTTTCCTCTAAATAAATGACCGCCTTTTGATCCTTTATATTATTTTTATTTTTTTATACATGGTTTAAAATTTTATCTTAAAATAGTTTTTTTTATATATGATTTTCCATGGCAAATCAATAACAAAAAACACGATTTTCAACAGGACCTCGTTAGATTTTTCTAAAATTTTTACAAGAGTGTATATATTATAAATAAGAATATATTCCCTCATCCCATTTATTGCGAGATCCTCATCGAACTTCAGTCGGAAAAATTCGTTTAATATTTTCTTCCCCATAACGAATGTGTCTGCTAGCCCGTTATCTTTTTCCAAATATTTAATATTAGATAAGATGTTTATCTTTAATATCTAAAATTATTGGAATTAGCAACCATTAACTCATTTTGCATATTATCTCTCAAGGCAGAAATGAATTTATTTCCCATGATATCATCGTGCCTTCTGTTTTCTTCAGCCCGAGATATCAATTTCACCTCTAGAAATCGTCGCCTGAGAATTAGATTATATCATTCCTAATATTGGCTATAATTTAGTTTATAAATATTTCGGTTTTTTTATGTAAATAGAATAGTATAATTATAAAAAAATTAGTACTTTAAACATTTCTAAAAAAATTGAACCTGTTTAACGTCCACCTTCAAAAAAAGGAACGCCTTCACTTTCGCTCAATAGTCAAATGAATAAAAATTTCATTAATATAAATAAATATTAGATATTTTTTAACACAATATGTTTAAAATTATAGTTATAAGTAAATAAAAAAATATTTCTTATTAATTTTTAATATTTATATAGACTTTTATTTATCGTATAAATAGGCTTGTTAATCGATCTTTTTAAAAAGATTGAATCACGATCTTTTCAATAAAAGAGGATCGACCTATTTAAAAAAAAGGATCGCGATCATGTTCACGATCTTTTCTTATTTAAATTTCTGATCGATGCAAAATTAACTGATTTTCTAAATTTTTATTTTATTTATTGCTTTTTAAGTAAAAAATTTTTAAAATGATTGGGATCGAATATTAAAAAAATGATCTCAATCACGATCCTCAATTTAAGTCAGGATCATAAATCCAGGAAAATTGACAAATTTAGGATCAAATCCAGGATCGGCGATTTTTTTATTCGATCCTTTAACACCTCTGCATATTAATTTAACTATTTATAAAATATAAATTTATAATACTTTGAATTGTGAATTATTAAATATAAAACCTAAAAATAAACGACAAATAATCACACTAAAATAAATAATTTCTAAAAGATATTAAGAATTTTATATCAATGTATATAATATTAAAGATTTTTACTTTATGTATCGTATCTATTACAATTTCATAATATTTTAATAAGCCTATGAAATACAACAATCTAAAATGAATTATTAACAGATAATATTAGATAATAAAATTTATTCATGTATATAAAATATATTATGTTTTGAATAAGAAAATATATATCCATATTTTTACAAAATTGTTTTATCTATTTAATCTATTACAATAAACAGCTAAAAAGAATTACGACACCATTGATCGGGAGGCTTCGGCGATCATGTTCGCTATCGAGAAGTTTAATCAATATATTTATGGAAGACATTTTATTTTGTTTAAAGATCATAGACCTTTAAAATGTATCTTAGGTGATAAAAGAGACCTAAATAAAATAATAAATAACCGTTTAATATGGTGGGCGACGAAGCTTTTAAATTACGACTATGAGATAATTCATAAGCTGGGTAATCAAAGCAGATGCGCCGACGCTCTGTCCCGTTTGAAGGTAGAGATAGGAAAAATTAATGAAGTTAAAAAAAAACGAAAATGAAATTAGAGAGGTAAAAATCAATTTACGGAGTAAAGTCGTAAGTGAAACGAGCAATGATATCAATCTGAAAAAGATTATTAAATTAATTAAAAATCATTGGTATATTGATAATATATATAATTATTTGGATATTTTAATAAAATTTATTTTAATTATTGTGGTGTTTATAAAATAGCATTTATTTATATTATATGTATCAAATGAGAAAATATATATCCATATACTTTTACAAAATCGTTTATATATAATCTATTACAAATTGTAATTAAAGCAAAATAACAAAATACAATTTATAATAAAAGTTAATACATTACAGTTCTATCCACTACAATTTGAATTATTCATGATAACGTATTGTGGGTTCCGAAACTCTTTTTTTAAAAGTTATATTTCCATTATGTTCTGCATTGTTCAAATCCTCAGTCATTGTTTTGGGTATTTCCTTAGCATGTAAATGCGCATCGCTCAGTTGGTTGAAATTAGTGTTGTTAATTGGTTGGTTGTGTAAAACGACCCGGGGTTTGGGTCTAAAAAATTGACCAAACCAGCTCTGAGTACGAACCCAGAGCACAGACCCGGGTCGTGTTGTTGTGTTGTGACGATTTAATAAACATGTTGATAATTAAAATATTTTATTGTAATATTAATAATCAGTGATAGAGGGCGGGGCGGGTCTAGGTCTTGGGGGTCAGGAATATTTTTATCAACACAAAATTTCGATATAGGTATCAAATAAAATCTAATTTAAATATCTTTAGATTGAAAGTATTCATTTTTTGTCTTGATGGGTATGACTTGGTCTGGGGGGGGGGGGGGATTTATATGGGTATCAAATAAAAGGTAATTAAAATATTTTTTTATTGTAATAATAATAATCACTCATAGAGGGCGCGTCTAGGTCTTGGGGGGTCAGGAATATTTTTATAAACACAAAATATCGATATGGGTATCAAATAAAATCTAATTTAAATATCTTTAGATTGAAAGTTTTTGTCTTGATGGGTATGACTTGGTCTGGAATGAGTGGATGGAAGGGGGGAGGGGTGTTAAAAATATATTTTTGATTTGGGTATCAAATAAAAGGTAAGTAAAATATTTTTTTATTGTAATAATAATAATCACTTATAGAGGGCGGGTCTAGGTCTTGGGGGATCAGGAATTTTTTTATCAACACAAAATATCGATATGGGTAGTGTTATTAATTGGTTGGTTGTCTAAAACTCAGACCCTGGGGGGTGGGGGTCTAATAAAATTACTCCGATCTACATTAGCAATATTTATATAATTAATAAGCCAGCGTTAACACGAACCCCAAGCACAGACGCGGGATCCAGACCCAGAGTTCAGACCATAAAAAATATTTATCAATAATATGGAACTTAAATAGTAAAATCCTGCAAGCAGCTCAACTTATGGTTAAAATTTTTTAATCAGGACTACTTAGGGCTTAGAAATACCAAATAGGATTAAAATGAATTATTATGTAGGTTGGCTGAGATTATTTCCAGCTATACCATCCTGATCCTAGTTCAGAATTAGATACGAACTTTCTGGTATGATTTGTTTAATTTCATCAACTAGAGGACGAATATTTCATACTTTATTTTCGGTTTTTTAACAATAAAATTAAATATCTGTAGCTAATCTTTTTTATAAAATCCCCTATTTTCTTATGTGATAAAAAAAAATAAAATTATATATTTGTACATGATTTTAAAATCTAAAATATAGATGTGATATTATCACGTGCCATTACTTCTCTAGTTTCTATAAATATAATCAAATATTTTTATTTTACATAAAAAATTCAACATAAAATTGATAAATTTAGATATATTTAAAAAAAATTCCGTCAACATTCTCGTTGGAAAGAGTTATAAATATAAATTTGATGAAAATTAATTTTCTCTTTTTTTTAGATTTAGGAAGAAAAGGAAGCTATTCAAAAAAAATTTAAAAACACATTTGTTTTCAATTATAATGTTCAAAACTCTTATCCTAATAATCATATCAAAAAAAAATTAGGTTTTATGAAAAACACCCGGGGTACCTATTATTCTTTTACGTTATGTCATAGCGCTTTTTTATTTTTAGATTTTTAAAATTTTTTTATATAAAAGTGTTGATTCTAAGTAAATAAATAAATATAAATTGTCAAATATGTTAAATTTATTAGGGTTCATCTATATCACCTGGAACTGGAAGTACTTGTCACTTAAATCTGTCATATAATTACAAAAATTAAGTCAATCATCTTCATATTGTTATTAGTGGTCCTAGACAAACTAGTGACTTCTAGTTCTTATAAATTTAGTTGGATTAAAAAGGCTAATACGTACCCCGCCAAAACCTCCGCCTTTTAAAATAAGATTCCTCTTTATCACGATTAAAACGTGATAATACCGTCTTATCAATCCTTAACTTAAAATTAGTGATGTACCGATATTTATTATCCGATCGGATCTGGCCTATATTTCATCTATTTTAAATATCGGTTATCGGCCAATATTATAAAATTTACCGATCCGATCCGATATAAAATGGCATCTTTACCAAAAATAAAATGTTAAAAATTTTTTTAAAAAAGTTATATATAAAATTATTTATTTTTATAAATAAGGGTCTTGTTATATTTTAATAAATTTTGGTCTTTATTTAGCATATTAGGTTGGTATTTAGAAAATCCTACGATGAGTAGTATCTGTCTGAAAATTTTTTTTGCT